AATATAAAGAGGGCTGCAGAGCTTGGGCATTTGTTGGGGCCGGTCCATTGTGTGGCTGCCCTTCTGTTTGTCTGCGGCTCCTCTTCGTGCTTCCGAGGAATTTATGATTATCATTAACTCAAGATTGTAGAAGTTTTCACGGTTGTGCTGCCGTACAGCTTTTTCCAGGTCGTGAACCGCGTGTCGTTCGGCACAATGTCCGACGTTTCGCTCCACGCGCTTGGAGCTTCCTCGGCGACTTGCAGAGGCTCCCGGCACGTGGCGGGACGGTGGGGGAAACGTCGGACATGGTGTCGAACAACGCGCGGCAGATACGCGATCCCGGGATTCTGTGACAGTGTTGTGGGGTTGCTGACATCTGCAACCATTGCAGCGACATCGCGTTGCCGTCGCGACGCATTTTCCCTTCATCGGCAACAGAACACCGTGGTAACCTAAGACGCGTGCAAGGTTTTTATCAGTACAGTAAGGGGCCATCCATTTAGTACGTGCGCATGGAGGGGGTTAACCCAAATGCGTACGCTTGCGTATGGGGGTCTACTGAAAATGTACGCCGAGGAAACGGGGGGGGGGGGGACGGGGGTGAAGCCTCGATAATAATTTGTCGACATTGGCCTTCAAATGAGTTAGATAGTCCGGCGGTGGACTATCTGTTTTCTTAAACACATTCATATTATTAATCCTTGGTAATTTCTGCGTGGATTAAATATCGGCCGTTCTATAGAATTTGGGGGGGGGGGGGGGGGGGTAAAAAGTACGCGTGCGAACAGGGACGGGGGGAGGGGTAAAGTTTCGACAGATATTTTGCGTACCTACTAAATGGATGGATGGCCCCTAATCACAATAATATTTAATAATTATTCAACTGCAGATCTTCGCTCACGTTTCACAGGATACGTTAGGGTTCTGTTTACTGTAGACTCAGCCTGACTTACATAAGTACCTGGTGTTGTGTGTAAACATCAACACTGGGTAGGCGAAGCTGGCTGGACGTGGTGCTGGCCGCCCTCATAGGTGCTCGCTAACAGCACTTTCCCCAACAAGTCTGCTGAAGGATATACAGGGGATTTTTGTCCTTTTGCCATTGTTTTGTGTGTACGTACGTTGAACTTCTTTCGCACCACACGTATCCAACCGTGCTAATCGGAGGTACGGCGTGTTTGTAATCGGCAAGCGCCAATGTGTGTTCCTTCTCAAACTTGCGTGGTACTCGGAGCAAGTTGTGGAAATGTCAAATCCCGTGGTCGATGTTAACTTTCCCAAAAGACAGCTGCCACTATTGACTTCCCACAAATGTGTACCCATTTAACCCACCACCCCAGGGGGATGATGAGTGGCTCAGACGACACCGAACTGGGATTTGAACCCTTGACCTTCCGATTGCAAAATTTCAGAGCTCTACCCATGGTGTCATCCAGAGAGATTTGCTATTTGTAGTGTTGCAATAATGTCAGTACATACTTCAGATGGTATGGTATATTTTGAATACATAGTAATTGCACACCTGCATGTGCACATTAATATGCTGCGTGTATGTGGACCTGGCTTGGCACAAGTGCCGTGGTGATGTCACCACCACTTAGTTGTTGTGTTGGCATAATAGGTTGTGCATCTGCCAGTCGTCTCAGTCAAGCCATGGCACATGGGTCTGTCCCGTGACCTGTCAACATGCTTTCGATACTTCACATGGCTTCAAAGCGCACCCAGCCTGGCACAAGGGTCATGGTGACATCACTGCAACTTATTGGCAAAACAGTGGCTGTTCTTAAATATGTATTTACTTCCCTGTCGCTAAATTGTTTTGTACAAATTTTTTATCTGCATGAGTAACAGTAGTTGGTTAAATGCCCTATGCCCCCATGTCGAAATAACTGGAAACAGGGTCCAATCTTTTCAGGTCTCGGAAGGGAAGCAGGGTTTAGCTATATTATTTTGGTTTTTCGGTAAAGTCACGTAGATAGGTTCAAAGAGAATATGCAAAAATTACGACGTTTCGATTTCAACATAAGGATGACGAGGGCCTTTATCCTAGAGTGCATTGTACGAATGGCCCTGTACAAACGCACGTTCTCTAAATGTATATGAACATATTGACGATGCACGGGTGCGCGGTATAAAAAAAGCAAATTTTTACGAATAATTCTTTATTTTCCCACAATTCGCAACCCTTGGTCAGAAAATCTTGCGGGGTGCCTCAAAATCGGTTCTCATGATGTCGAAGCAGTGTGTAGACAAATGTTATGAGCGGCCGAACACGAAGCTTCACAGTCTGTTGCCGTATAGCACCTAGCCTGATGACGATTGGCTTTCTTGCATAAAGGACGCGCAAGAAAGCTGCTGCTGCTGCTGCTATTACTCGAGATGCTCGCCCTCCTGGTCAGCCCGAAAAAAAATGGCATGCCCCGGATGGTCAATGTTGACCTTTTTTTAACAGGTCACAGTAGGCTGAATAAAACTTTAGAATGGTTAATTAAAGACCGATAAACAGATTTGCTTGTTATTATTTTTACTGTTGTATAAGGACCGGTGTGTTATGTTGCACCAGCGTACCGCCAGTGCGTCCAAATATATGTATATGTTAGTACCTGTAGAGCATTTTGTGTTTGTTTACAAGTTCACTTATCGTGGGCCCCACCAAGCAGCTATTCCTTTACATGAATTTCACCGATGGCTAAATTTGCATCTATTGGCGGTGTCGGTTCAAAAGTCACACCGCCACTCTTAACGCTTCACCGTCCGTGCGGAGAAATTTTCCAAACAACAACAACAACAACAAAAACGAACACGCCTTTCTTCTACGATAACCCTAATAGCTTCGGCAATGCGTGTGTTAATTACATACACCGCAATTATATCCAAATCCACGCATACGCACTCTATAATTTATATATATAGTTAGTGGAGGCTGCGTGTATGCACATTGAACTTGTTCCGCTTGGTACGTAGCCAACCGTGCTAATCGGGCACTACGTGAATACATCACGGTGCATTGCTGAAATCTCTCTACCGAGAGCAGAGCAATGCCACTTGAAAGAAATTGACTTTGGAACCAAAGAAACGATTATGCGCCCTATAATTGACTCCCCCAACGTTTTGTTTTTTTGCCATTTAATTTCGACTCCATTAGGTGTGTGGGAAGTTATGGACCACTTAGCGTTCTAAACATGTAAAGTGACGTTCTCAGGGGACAAATTAAATGCAAACTACTAATTTTAGGTCGGCTTCTCTAGGTAATCAACAGCATCTGGCATGCTGAAACAGAGACAGTCTTTGGTGGGGAGTGTACACTCGTGGGTGGGCATCACACACCAGGACATGAGATGAGGCCAGAGCGGTAAGAGGGCCTTTGAGCTCCAGGATTGCAGGATCTGGCAGAAGGAAGTGACCTCAAGATGTGGTTCCATCAGCTGTGGTGGCTGTGATGACATCTTGATCACGACCTTTCAAAAAATGGCTCAGGCTCAAAGTTTTGATTTTGCATGTTGCCAGAAGCTGCTTATTCACAACTTTTTCAATCGGACAACTGGCCACATGGCAGAATATTAGTTATCAATCCATTTTTACTTCAACGTTTTACAGAAACTGCCCTTCTTCGTCACTTGAAATGCTCCCCCCTCTTTTAAAATGTGTTTACATCTTGACTCAAAGCTTCCGTGACTGCAGGAATTCATATTATTGGGTCTTTCGGTAAAGTCACGTAGATAGGTTCAAAGAAAATAACAAAGAATAAAAAAAAACTACGACGTTTCGATCGCAACACAAGCAGTCGCTTGTGTTGCGATCTATCTATGTGACTTTACCGAAAGACCCAAGAATGTGTTTACATCCTCGCCGCAAAACACGTGTGGACTGTAAAACTACGTGTCATAAACGTGTCAAGATCCAGCAGGTTTATTTTTCTTTTTTACGATCTCCGTTAAAGCGTGGGAAAGACATGTTGAAAACCAGCGATTATATGTGTTTTTGCTGATATTTTCCAAAGATTTGCAAACTGTGGTTACCACTTGGGGGTTCAGACTAAATGATTTTTTGATGGAATTCATGTTTGCTGTGGCTAAGTTTAGCCTAATTACCTTATGTGGGTTGAAATGTGTGTGTCTCTTTAAAAACTAAAAGGGACTTAAATAAGCAATGTAGCTTCACAGGATGCCAGTCGAGCAATCGTTGGATCGTGGATGTATGTAAACACTCCAGCTTCCAAAAAAATCCTTGAAAGCTGCGGTTCTGGAAATTGGCAGAGTGTAGGAAACGCAAATTGCTCACATCAAATTAGCCTCATCGTTATTGTAAATGTTTATGATTAATGCTGCGTAAGAGTGTTCCAGTAAATTAATACATCTTTACATATTCATCATTATTAAATCATTGATACCATATATCATCATTGTTGTTTTTAGTAAAATATAATAAGAAATAATTTGTGCCAGAAATTCTTTACAGCTGTTGTCATGGTCACAGAACTATAATGTTAATATGTAAAATATGTCAAATTTCCATATTTCACCTGTTTTCTGATATATTGAGATCCTATGGTATGTATTAGGGTGCCACTATATGCGTATGGAAAAGTGAAGATTAAGTTTCCTTGACTAACCATCCCCTCAATTTGTTACCACATTAGGTGACTGTAGCAGGGATTTTCGGTTCAAACCCCGGCGGCCACCCTGGTCAATACTCCATCTGTATTAGCCATAAAATAAAAAACATGCCGTCTGCATTGCAGTGCAAGTTAAAGGTCATGTGACCATACATTACTTGCACATTACTTAAGTGGGAAGCCACAGGGCAACATCCATCATCGCCCCCCCCCCCCCCCCCCGAACCGGCAGACGAATGCCAACTTGCCGGTTGGTGCTGCGTTCACCTTGTGCCTCACAGGGACAGCTGCCACCCGGGGGAGGGGGTGGGTGGGGTGCCTCGGGTGCGGTTTATACATCAAGCGACGATGATGTTGATGGATTCTAATCGTTCCCCTGGCCCCCGCCGATTGCCGCGTGCAGAGAAGCTGGACGAGATTCTGGCAAACGCGGACAAGCCCCTGGGGGACGCTGCGGCGCAGGCCGACTCGCGCGCTGCCACCGTCAAGCAGAGGCCCACGAGCCGCCACTTCATAAACGAGGAGCTCAAGGTGTGGCGGCGCACTCGCTCACACGTACGCAAGCACACACACACACACTCCAACAACAACCGCCATTCGCCACTAAGTGGCGGTGACGTCACCACGACGCTTGTGCCAGGCTATGTGCACGTTGAGGCCACGTATAGTGTCGAACGGCCGCTGGCAGGAGGTAACGGCGCAGACCCAGGTGCCACGGGTCGACTGACTGAGATGACTGGCTGATGGACCACCTGTGCCCCCTACTGTGCCAACTTGCTGTGCTTTAGCCACCCGGCACTCCGCTCGTTGTTGCGAGCATCGCTCCTCTGCCTCGATATCAGGAGGAGTGGGGGACGATGCCAACCCCAGCCGCAAGCGATGATGCAATTCTTGCTTGCAACTTTCATCAGCTAGCTGAGACAATGCCACTATGGGTTTTACTGGGGTCCTGGGTGTACACCCACCACCAGAGTGGAAGAATGGCAGGCGCATCTTACAGATGACAAGTCGATGATCAGTGGGCAGATCAGTTCCACGGTAGGTCCTGGTGTCAAGGACATGGGCCCGCATCCGCTGTTCTGTCACTATGTAGTCCAGCAGATGTTCTTGCTTGGACCCGGCATGCATCCATGATGTTGTGTGGATGCGCCGATGCTGGAACAGCACGTTGGTAATTACAAGCCCATGGGCTGCACAAAAATCTAGCAGCCTCTGGCCGTTGTTATTGAGCTGATCTGGCCCATGCCTTCCAATCACTCCAGACCAGGTGCCAGCATCATGACCAACTCGGGAATTGAAGTCACCCAACAAGATGACTCTATCCCTAGGGGCTACTTTAGCTAGCACCTGTGACAGGAGGTCATAGAAGGCATCTAACTCATCAGCCTTGCCTGCATCCCTCCATGGATGTTCGTCTTCAGTGGGGGCATGAGTAATGACGACCACCACTCCTCGCCTCTGGGGCTTACAGCTTCCCACACCTCTCCACCACACTCCCACACCACCTTCATTCTTTTGTTCAGAAGAAGAGCCACTCTCTGTTGTTTGGCAGTCTCCTGCCCCGAGTAGAGGACTGTCCACCCCTCATGGTGGCAGGAGCCATAGCTGGTCCACCGGACTTCCTGAATACCACAGAAATCCAAGCGGTACCGGTCCAGCTCCCGACAGAGGAGTGGCAGCCTCTCTTCCGTAGTGAGCAGTTCGAACATTCCCCGTTGCCACCCGTAGTAGTTTTTTGTTGTTTTTGGACGTGGTGGTGACATCACCACGGCGCTTGTGCCAGGCTATATGCACTTTGAAGCCACGTGAAGTGTCGAAAATCTAACGCACTCACACACAAGCACATGCGAATGAACACAAGTGGCACACACTCTGTTCACGAGCTTCTATGAAGTCCGGCATAAGTGCACGAGGGTGGTGGTGTGGCCAGCACCACGCACGGACGCTTCAGTCTGTTTCAAGGCCACAGATACATTTCCATGTTAATGAGAACAAAATAAAAATCGTAAGTCAACCCAATCAATCAGGAATTAAACCGGGCGAGAGCCGTGGGAGAAAACACGTCTATTAATAAAGTGTAGGTTTCGAAAAATGTCAAGGTGTAGGACAGCGGAGCAAAACGTTGTTGTCCAGGAGGTAGTGGACTGTGTAGCGCCGTGCATCACGGCCCTGGCAGTGACGTCAGTGCCCCCCAGAGTTCTCCTCTGGACAGCTGCGTGCAAGGCGCAGCCCTGAAACTGCCCGCTCATCCCACTGCTGGGTAAGGGGCCTCCACGACGAGAGGGAGCACTAGGCCTACTCTTCCTTGGTGGCCAGGTGTCTTGAGAAACACACGGGGTGACGCACACTTTACCCCGCCAAACGTGGCCTGCCGATCAACTATCCGGCCATTTATACCGCGGGATGGACAGAGGTGGGGAGGGTGCTGGTTGGGGTGGGTAGGGGGACCAAATAAAAAACTTGGCCATTGTTTAAATCGCCATTCTGGGTGGTGAGCATCTAACCACATCCTCACCTTGATGAGCATGTCAGGAATAAACACATACATAAATTAAGCTACCCTTCCCCCACCACTTCCCCCTGCTCCACTACCGCTTGCCCCCCTCGCCCCACCACTCCCCCCACTGCCCCCCCTCACTGCTCCACCCACCGTTCCCCCCACTGCTCCTCCGACTGCTCCCCCCGCCGCTCCCCCCGCCGCTGCTATAATGTTTTTTGTATTGTTTGCCGTTGTAATGTTCTTGCCCGCCCCGACTGGGCATCTGCGAAAAAGAGCTTTATAGCTCATCGGATTCCTCCAGTGTAAATAAATATTCTGATTCTGCTCCCCCACTGTCTCCCCCACTGCGCAGTCGCTGTTTGAACGCCAGGCCATTCCCGTGGCAACTCCGTCCGTGCCTGGGACCCCCAAGAAACCCCCGGTCTCTCACCCCACGGGGATGTACAAGGCGCCCGGTTAGTGCCGCCCCCCTTTCGCTGCCTTTCAACTCGGTTCAGGGCCACCGCCGTTATGTGTCAGGAGGAGTTACGGTCATGGGAAGACACCGTGACGGGTCCGATGCCATACCTCGTGTTGTATCTTGGAGCAGATTTATAAAACTCTTTTGAATATGTCTAATAAAACAATGTATTATCTTTCCGCGAACGGTCGATCGTTGTTGACTTCGGGTAAAGTTATACCTAGTTTATAGACCCAGTAGGGATGATGGGCTGAGTAGCACCTTGACCCTATTTAGAATTTACAAACCTTCACAAGGTGAAGTCGAATGCTCTGTCCGCAATACCGTCCAGCAGGCTAACGCTGTCGTAATTGTCGATATTGTGACAATAGCATAATCCACTGCTAGATGAAGGCCTCCCCCGTGCCCTGTTTGTCACGTGGATTTTTTTACTCTCCTTTGTTAGCACTGGTCACTGGCTGTGTGTGTAGGGGTCACCCAGGACCAGTTTGGATATCGCTCACCTCTTGGTGCCAGCGCTAGAAATGAGCTCGCCAGACTCACTGCACGGTATGTGAACCTCGCCGCCGCCACCCCGCCTAAAGGATCTCTCGTTGTCTCACCAACCCCGTCAACTTCGCCCGTTTCCCCAGCAGACACGCAGGAGAACGGCAAGTATGCGGAGCCGCCGATGAAGTTCGCCTACTCCATGCAGGAGCTGAACGACTACCACGAGAACGACCTCGGGGACGTCGTCGACATGGCCGAAATCCCCCCGCCCCCCAGCATGGCCCCTCCGCCCCTCCCCCCGGCCGACTACGGCGACGCCAGCGACGCCAGTGGCGACGACGACGACGACCAGCCGCCGCCACCGCCGCCGTCGTACGCGCCGCCCGCCCCGCCGAGCCCCGTCCTCCCGGCGTTCGGCGCGGCCCACTCCACCTTCAGGCCCAACGGGGAGACGGCGGCGGCGGGCGGCCACCTCGCGCCGTCCAACGGCACCGCCAGGGGCGCCGTCCCGCGGGACCGCGAGCCGGCGAGCCCCGGGGACGGCGAGAAGCCCGACGTCGCGCACGCCAGGGCCCCCAAGAAGCCGCTGCGGCGCAAGGGGACGCTCATCAAGCAGGGCAACGTGGAGAGCAGCCCCGAGAAGGCGGCGGCGCTCGCCTCCGCGGGCCCCGGCGCCTCGGCCCCCGGCGCCATCCCGTCCATCGTCATCAAGGAGCCGTCGACGAGCAGCAGCGGCGACGCGAGCCTCACGAGCAGCGTGGAGTACGAGGGGATGTCCGCGGAAGCGGGCGACGCTGGCGGAGGCGGGAAGGGTGGCGGCGGCGACGCGAAGGGGCCCTTCGCCGCCGCCATCGCCGGCGCGGTGCGCGATCGCGAGCGGCGGCTGGAGGAGAAGCGCAAGTCGATGGCGGCGCCGGTGCCCACGGGACGGGGAGGCGAGGCGGCGGGCGGGGCGGAAGAGCCGCCGTCGCCGCTGCTCACAGTGCCGCCGCCCGCCGGCCCGACGGCCCTGAGCGAGTCCCCCCGCGCCGACATGGCCCCGGGCCGCGAGGCGGCGGGCAGCGTGCACCCTTTGTCCGGCGAGGCGCTGCAGCCGACGTCGCCCATGGCGTTGATTCTGGCGGCGCGGCAGCGGGCGATGAACCGCCAGTCGTCGCGCCGCCCCGGCGATCGCGCGTCGAGGAGCGAGGTCGACGGGAGCGTGACCGGCGACGGCCCTTCCTCTGCCGCCGCGGTCCACGTCGCCAACGGCGAGAGGGAGTCGGGGGACGAGGCCTCGAACCTCAAGCCCCCGAGCGCCATCCCGCCGCTGCCGCCGAATCCGCCGCCGGACGGCGCGTTGGCGGCCGCCGCTGCGGGGGCGGGGGCGGCGACCCCGGGGCACGCGATCCAGAAGGCGCAGAGCGTGGAGGGCGAGGACGACTTCGTGTTCTCGGACCCGCTGCCGCCGCCCCTGCAGTTCTGCAACAGCTTCGAGAGCTCCGACGAGCAGATGGGCGACCAGGTGCTGGAGAAGATCAAGCTGCGGTCGACCAAACCCAACGACCCCGAGCGTAGGAACACGAGGACGGTGAAGCCCGCGGCCTCCATGAGCCCCTACGAGCGCATCCTGGCGAGCATGATGCAGATGCCCATGAGGGGCACGGCCGCGGCAGCCGGCGCCGCGAGCCACTCGGACTCGGTGGACGCGAGCGCGGACTCGGGCCTCGAGGAGATGGACAGCAGGAGCAGCAGCGAGACGACGAGCATCGTCTCGACAGCGTCCAACGTCTCCACCGTCTCCTCCGAGGGCGGGGAGGCTGCTGATGGGCACAAGGAGCACCACCGGCAACAGCAGCACGCGCGCTCACAGATCACCAACAAGCCGGCGAGGTTCACCATGAACAACGTCTCGTCGCCGCCCCCCTTCTCGGGGCCGCCGCAGAGGCAAAACTCGAAGGGCCCGTCGACACCCAGCACGCCCGTGTCGCCAGGCGCGCCGCCACTCCCCGGCGCCAACGGCGCCACGCCAAAGGCCTCGGGCTTCCCGAGGAGGTCCAAGCTGTGGGGGGAGCAGCCGTCGGAAATGGGCAGGAACGGCGGTGTCGTCGGCGGGAGCCTGGACACGGGCAACGCCAAGTCGAACGTCATGAACGAGCTGAACTCCAAGCTGCAGCAGATGAGCGTGCCCACGCGCACCGGCAGCCTCCTGGGGACCAGGTCGTCCGGGCCGGCATCGAGGTAAGGGTTTCACGCAGCTGCTGCTCGAGTGGCACGGGCCCAGGGACTCCCGAAAAGACCGAGCGGACAGCAACAAACAGCGCCGTTAACGCTGTAATGCATACCGAGCAATACGTTTCTTGAATTGAGCAATGTTATAGCAAGTTGGCGAGTAGGGGGCCGAAGAGACCATCTTAATGGAGTTCTAGAGTTTTGACCGGTGTGGTGGTTGAACACTGTGGGGATGAGATGGAACACTGAGTTTGGTAGATCGAGTCCGCAACATTAGTGGGGGGGAATCGATAAGCGACGTGACGACCCAGAGTAAAATCCATGCGGCCACTTGGAGAGCCCGCAAACTCCAAATATACAGGCGTCATCAGGGTCAGGATTGAACCACGACCTGCTGCATACCAGGCGCTGTAACATCTCACCACCTGACAGGACAGCCATCAGTAATATCCGCGCCTGATTGATTGCACCTCGCCGCATTCACAGTTTGCCGAGTCCCTGACCATTCCATTTATGAAGGAGATATCCCCACACACCTTCTCCCGCGTGATGTTCGGGCACTGCGGTGGAGCGGTCCCCACTGTCGTTGTGGAAGAGAGTAACCAGGGGACCATTCCTTTTGTGGATTGTCGCTCTGCGCTCGTTGAAGTGGATTGCCAGCTTGTGGGAAGTCGGCAATGGGTTACGATTGTACGGTGCGGTGTTGTGCGCAAGATCGAGTTGTTTCGGCCGGATTCCCGAAGAAAGCTTCCTGGCGCGCGAAGCTGAAACGTCGGCCCGGTGTGCCGAGCACCGTACAGTACACGTACGATCTCAAACACATCGGAGAGCCAGGCAGCACAACCGCGAAAAAGTAATATTCGTCATTCTTTGGCGAATAATGCATAATTTACACCACTAGTTCAGAATAACTCGTAAAGATCATTTGAGTGGGGAGTTACTTTCAATTTTGTGCTGGATAAACGAACTTACTACATATCACCAGTAAAATATATACATTTATACTGTGGATGAACTCGTCCCTTCCACAGGAATGTGGAATATCCACCACTACCTTCGCATTAGCCAGTGCTCATTTGCGTATCGTGATGCTTCTCGAGCAGTAGGTTTTACGACATGCATGCGCCACTGTTTTCTCATTCGTCTCGGAAGTCGTCTTTCTCAAGGCAAGCCGCCTTCTGAATCTCCGCCGCGTGTAGACAACGTTGTCAAAGCGGCGGTGAAATCGTTGCCATTTTTTGCTCCACCGCAAAAAAAAGTAACGGTGCAATTCCCACCACCGTCACTTCGTGAATTGGCGAAGAGGGCCGACTGACGAAGTTGACATTTTTTGCGCCACCGCAAAAGATGGCAACGCGTGCGTCATCTCACTTATTACGGGCGCCGCCCTTGCTGATAATATTCGATGGAACGGGCAATCTTTGAGTTGACCGTAAGCAACGGCGGAACGACGCGAGGCATCACACACAACTGTAACGGCGTGGCCCGCACAATCTCAACTAACTGGACCCTTCCCACATATTTAATGTGACAACGCTTATACCTTTCGCTGGACCCGTGGCTTTTTCCTGTGACAGTACAACGTTCTGTTTAAAAAAAAAAACATTCAAATAATATATTCACATGGCACGTGATCTAATCGGGATGTGATTTAAACTCATCTAATCGTACAAGCAAACGATTGCAGGGCTGCAGCTTTAGCTCATTTGACTGTTATTAAACTAAAACTTACACAATATTTATTTGACCAGGTAAGGCCCAGTGGTCAGTTGCCTCACCACTGGGCCAATTGCAAGCGGTAAGACTCAGTTTGCAATGGGCTCGGTGGTGAGGGAACTCACTGCTGGACTGATCCGGCCACTCACGGGTGAGATGGTGCCGTAAACTCTCCGTGCAGCTCGGATGCACGTTAGACGTTTCGGTCACTTTTCAATGAGGCAGTCAAAAAAAAAACACAAACACGATAGGTGTCTCTGCAATGGCATAGTTGTTCTTAGACATCGGCAGTAGATATGCTCATGTATCCTCTGACAGCTTCCTACTGTCAGAACGTGATGCTTTCCCTCGGGCATTGTAACAGTCGTGGGAGGTTGGCGGGTTGCTCGCAGCGGGTCGGTTTGCGCAGGGGTAACGGTGCAATTCCCACCACCATCGCTTCGTAAATTGGCGAAGAGGGCGACTGGCGAAGTTGACATTAATGATGAGGACGTGACACCATTGTCAAGCGTGCTGCCTGTAAAAGAATTACCCACTGCACATTTACATAAATGTGAATATATATTTTTGAGACAATTCACATCCCACTGATTATCTCTTTTATGGATGACTATTATTTATTTTATGAATGAATTAAAAAAGAGAGATGATATTGTCATCCTCTCAGCCGACAAGGGAAATGCCACTGTCATCATGGATAAAACCACATACAACAACAAAATCCAGGACCTTCTCAATGATGGCTGCTATACCAAAATTAACAGAGACCCTACCAATAGCTTGGCTACTAAAATCCACATGCATACACACACACATGCAGGCACACACTCAATTCATAGCCACGATAGCTGCAATAAGGTAAAAAATTCACTTAATGGTATGCATTGTACATGCAGCCAAACAATTGGCTGTTGCATTAGATGCAATGGTGCTGGGGTGTATTGTTGGGCATATTTTAAATGAATAAATTAAGCCTTTTGGTAGCTATAACCAACAATTCCACTGGACCTGGCTTTAACAACCAGGTGAGACCACATTAAAACGCTTGCTTCTTTTGAAAACGAAACGTGGGGGTTTAAACAATGTGGAGAGAGAAAAACCCGCTGCCAAACACCCCGACCGGAGAGGACCCTCTTGGTGACGTCCTTGCTCATAGGTGTGCAGCGTAGAGAAGCGCAGGTGTTGTGGTGGCACGCAGAGGTCAGGCCCAAGGGTAAGTGCTGAAGCCTGATGATGAGATGTTGTGAAAGCCAGCCTTGGAGGATCCGGTGTTAGCTAACAACAGTTGCGGGATCTGGCATGAGGAAGGAAGCGATGGACAGGTGTGATGACGTCAACGGTAGCAATGCACACATTCGTGAAAAGGCTAAGACAGTCGCGACTCGGGGGCTCTGCGGAGTCCAGGCTCCGACGTTCCTCGTAGGCCCGACGAAACGGATGAGAGCAGCCTTCAGCCGCCTCTGAAAACATGCTGGTGGATTTGATGATGATGCTGCTCCTGCTGTAGCTGACGCTGCGTATGTTGTAGTGGGATGCAATTGACATTGAATGCGATGACCTCTTCGCTGTCAGTTATGTCAGCTGCTAAAATCTTACTTAGCCAAGAGAGAGGGCATTATGGTATTCCTCTCTCAATAGTTATGTAACATTTCGCGAGGGACTTGCTGACTTGCAGCTTCAACTCGAGCATTAAATACCACCGATGGGGCCATTTGCGGTAACTGGTTTTGGATGTGAATCCTGCTGGGACGTGTTTTTATTTGCACTGTGGCTTAGCTGTAAAACTGAAAACCACGCAGCAAGGGCAGCTGCTGGATGCTTTACAAACAACACATGAGCCCAAGACACGCGTTGTTAGGCCAATCTTGACCCGATGGCACTTCTGTGAAAAACACAAACCTCATACAGAATGCTTCTTTTTTTACATTTAATAACACTGAGTTAAACAAGATACGCAGTTGCCTTCATACGGGAGTTTATTGCAGGGTAAAGGCATTCAAAGCCCCGCGTCATTGCCCAGCATAAGCATGAAAGTATTGAGAGGTCACAGAGAAATGTGCGGCAGTAGGTAACGTGTCGGCACATCATTTGCAGCGATGGGGTGCAGTGTGGGTATTTACTCTCTTTTACTCCATCCACATCCCATCTCACCAAATGGGTGAAACCCTAACAAACCATAACCATTCACTTGACTGGAAAAAAGTGTGCAAACTTGGTGGTGGTGGTCGTGGAAATTCACCCTCTCCTGAGTGTGTTACAGTATTTCATTAAGATAGCAGATTGTAAACTAACACTGACAATGGCTCACGCCTTTTGGGTTGTTGCCAGGAGCTGTGTCTTTGTTGTGTCAAACGTTTCCCCACTTTTCAAGAGCGTTTGTACTGGTGTCATGCAGATGCTATGTACAATAATTACATGTTCATATTCATTTCCAACCAGCTGGCTTGACTCGATGAAAATTCGAACAGTGTTTGATAAAAATATTTCACATTGATGTATCATGCATTTAATATTCTGAGCTTGTGAGAAATTTGGCCGGGTGTCTCACTGGTTAGGGTTGCCACGGTGGCGAGATGTTATCTCCCTCACCTGGTGTGCAGGAGTCTGCGGGTTCGATCCTGACCCTGACGGTGCCTGTGTAGTGACGTGGAATTGGGTCACTGGCGCATAGCGCTGGTTGTCGACACAGAAGGGGATCGGAGGTGTAGTAGCCCTGTCTGCCAGCAGGACGTGATGAGCCGGAGAGAGGGACGTGAGGCAAGGGGGACAGAGGGGGTACGTGTGGTAAAGCCCGGAACCTTCTGGTGGGTTCTAGAGGGGGGGCGTGTGTCGAAGGCGGAGCGAGGCCACGCTGGGTGTATCAAGGAAAGACCCCGAGCGAGAGTTCGGGGTTTTTGTTTGGAGTGGAACCGTCGTGCTGCTGGAGGCCTCGTCACCATCTTCACCATCTTCACCTCGTTGGTGTTGTTGGCCAGGCAGCCTGTTCGCTGTCCTGACCCTAGCATAGTTACCTCTTGTCCCTGTGAAGGCCATAATCAATATAGTGCCTCCTACTGTTAGTGTCTCCGAGTTATACACTACACCTGTGCATTTGGAGATTGCATGATTTTTCCGTGATCATGTGGATTTCTTTCCTGGTCCTTCAGTTTTTCTCTCCACATTTTTCCCTCCACATTTTTCTCTCCACATTTTTCTCCAACATGTGTTTAGAGTATTTGGCTGCTATAAATTTTCACATAATGAGCCACTTCGTTGAGCTATAATTTGTGGCCAGGTCGCTTCTTAAAAATAGC